CGAAACCTGTCAGCATTGACCGACAAATTGCCATTTTGTTTTTGGCTTAGAGACCCTCAATAAGTCTCTCTATTTCCTTCTTCCTTTGCCAGTTTCCACCTTTTTCCTTCCGCCATGACCACCATTGCCAATGTTGGTGCTTTGTTTCTGCCAGTATCTTTACCAAGATCACGCTACATTACTTAATATGTGGCTTATATTTTGAGGTTACTCATTTCGGGGCATTAAAAAGGGGTTTAGAGTATTTGCTAGCTTGGGGAACAAGAAGAGCCACTGGGGAACTCTCTTTGATGTTGAGGATCCAACGTCTAATATTCCACAATGTCAAGGGAAGTTGTTCGATGTTTTATCAGGCACTGGAACGAGCTAGATACGATATTTGGTACTGCGATTGGCGGGCTCGGCAAGATGTACTCACAATCATGCTTCATGAAAAGGTGGTCTTCAATCTCAACATGATGATCTTTCTTCCTTAGCACTTTGAATTTGTGTTATTTGCTACTTTACCTGTGTGCTTTCAAACTATTGTATTTGTTTTTACTTATCAAGAAAATCAAGTGTTGCAGGTAGTGCAAGTGTTGAATCCTCTAGCTCGTGAATACAAGTCGATCAGAACCACTAGAAAAGAACTTGCGGTATTGCAAGGAGAATTAGAACATGCTCAACAACAGGTAGATGAAATCAACAGTTAATGGAAATAAGGATTCATATAATTTAATTACTACTCGTATGCATCAGTTATAATTGACTAAGGAATAACAAAAAGAGGTCTCTATTTTGGTATCAGCCAAATTCGACTCTGATTCGAGAGAAATAACAGGTCCATATATTCGAAGGAAGGGTTGCTGCTGCTTTGGGTAAACTAGCTTGCATGGAGGAATTGGCGTATGATAAGCTGTTGGAAGATGGAACCGCAACAGAATCCAATGTAGCATCCTCTTCTAGCACACCAAAACAATCTTTGAAGAACAAGTCGCCCCGAGAAAACTTGGATGTGTCGGGTCCGGTTCAACCATATCACCCCGACTGAATAATTTTTGGTATCCCGTTGCTTTCTCCACTCATCTCAAGGATGACACTATGGTAAAGCATATTCAAAACTATAATATTGCTTATCATCCAATTCCGCAACACATTCACATACTAATTCTACATTATTGTTCCTATTACTTCTCATTGCAAATTCCGATCGACTGCTTTGAAGAACCATGGGTTCTTTTTCGTGGAGATGATCGGAATCCGGGATGCGTCCAAAAAACTTGTGCACATAGAGCATGTCCTCTTCATTTTGGTTCGGTTAATGAGGGTCGAATCCAATGTCCCTACCATGATTAGTATGAGTTTAGGAATTGTACATTTTAAAAGCAAGACAGATATCAGTGAATGATTTAGACCTTATATTAGTTCTATATATCTGGATGGAAATACACAACTGATGGGAAATGTGAAAACATGCCGTCGACACAATTACTCGATGAGCAGATAAGATCATTTCTATGTCTCGAGCAAGAGGGAATGATATGGATTTGGCCGGAGACAACCATCCTTCGGCAACGCTTCCTCCCTTACGACCTCCTGGATTTGAAATCCATGCTGAGGTATGCTTTCTTTATTGTAACTCGGTGAAAACAATGGACAACTTTTAGTAAGAATCTGCACTATCTCACACCATATGCTGATAAATGCCAATTTGTTATCGACCTTCTGGTCGAGCACGGAATACTCTGGACCTCTTGGATGTCCTTCATGCACCATTTGTTCACACTTCCACATTTTCCAGGGGATGGACAGTTCCAAGGTTTGTTTTCGCAATCAAATTGGCACATGATTTATTGCTGTGTGATTTTGATCTTACTTACCGTGTGCAATGTGAACATTGCAGTTCGGTGAAGTTCTTGACGCCTGTCTTGGGTCTCCGAGGGTACTGGAATCCTTATCCGATTGATATGGAATTCCGGCCTCATTGTATGATGCTAGCAACCATTGGGATATCAAAGCCGGTGAAAATGGAAGGACAAAGTACCAAGGAAAGCGCAACACATCTTCACCAGCTTTATGTATGCATACCTGCATCCAGAAATAAGACGAGACTGTTATATAGACTGTCTCTGTATTTCGCACCCATGTTGAAGCACGTTCCTTTTATCCATTATTTATGGAGGCATTTTGCAGAACAGGTAAAAAAAATCTTTATTATCCACTTTCATCTCTCTTACTATTTGTAGTGTTTTTTAGTAATTTATAATGATTATAAAGTAGTATATATTTTGAAGATTTTTTCCGTTCTACGCTTGATTCGTACGTACAGGTGCTAAACGAGGATATGCGACTCATAATGGGGCAGCAGGAACGTATGGTGGACGGGGCAAACATCTGGAATGTGCCGGTGGAGTATGATAAGCTGGGATTTAGGTACAGATTATGGAGAAAAGCTGTTGAACAAGGAGCCGAACAATTACCCTTCAGCCAACCTACGCAAAATTTCTAACTCTACCCAACTTTAACATCTCACTCTCATTTTCTTTTTCCTTTTCATTCAAGTGCTATTAGTTTATTCAAAATTTAACATATTGTTTAGTAGTTTTATGTTATTTTCGAGGGATTTCTGTGATTGTATTCTGTTCATATAAGTTTTACATGTCGCGTTTTAATTTGATTTGTTTTCTTTTTGGCTACCACTCCGTAAATTAAAATTTCTTGCTTTCAATTTTTTATATTTGATTTATAATTTACTAGTTTAAGATAAAACAAGATTTGTTTAGAATTTCATATATTATTTAAATAATTTATTAACATATTTTATTTATGGCTATTTAAAGTTAATATTATAGATACTTGTTATATGTAGGTGATCTTTCAGTCACGATTGCAAAAATATGGATTCGAATAATTTAAGAGAATTATTGAATTATTTCATTATTTTTCCTTTTTATTTAATTATAATATTTATATATACTTTTATCAAGTGTATAATATAATATTTGATTATTCGAATATGTAGGTGATCTTTCAGTCACGATTGCAAATTATTATTGGATTATTTAATAATTTTTTTTATTAATTTAATTTTATCTTTAAAATTTGTATAATATTCAAATTATTAAGCAACAATATATTAATATAATATTTAATTAAAACTAATTTGATTAACGGAAAAATATATTCTATTAAAAAAGTAAAAGGCATCAAATCAATTAATTAAAATAATTACTGAAATTGTATCATTCCCTAATATAATAGCAGTGGGTACAATTTTGCCTAAATACCACGACTCAAAAGTCAAATGATATGTAAAACAAATTGAGGGAACATACAAAGGACAAGTTTATTTTATCCGACTAATTCAGGTAAATATATACGAAAATGCAATGAATCTTTCTTTTCATAAGCATGTCACACTTCAAGTTGTGGTGTGATTCGATTTGGAAATAATTAAAATTAAAAATATAGTTTTTTAAGTAAAAATATTTTAAAATCAATATTGTTAGTGACATCTTAAAATCTGATTTTGTTTATGTAATAAATTTAATCAAATGATATAATTTTTAAAATTATATTAATTGATTTTTATATTTAATTAATTATATTACTTTCGTTATTTAACCAATATTAATCGTAACAGTACTGACGTGGTAATTAACTATATCAATGTAACATTTCATGATATTAGTACGGTGGTTTATAATTATGCCGTAACAATCCACTTGTAATAAGATAATACTTTTGGAAAATAGTAATATTAGAATACTAATTGATTCTAAATTTAATTAAAACTTAACTTAATCCCAAAGCACATTTCAGATATTAGCAAACGGAGTCTGAACTCTAAAGTCAACACTCCAAGTCCTCCCTGGTTGCTTAATCCCTAAGTTAAAGTCCAAAGACCCTCACCGACTGCACTAAAATAAAATCAAAATTAAAATGCTTTCTAATATTAAATATGACAATATGTGTAGTTTTGCCATGCTGATTGTTCATGTTATTTTCATATACTTAAAAATGATATTTAAAAAAAAATATAAAACTATTAAATTACTAATTTTTTTTTATAATAACTATCATGACATGTTACACGCTACTTAAAATCAAATTTCATTAGTTCAAGTTAACGGGATTTCAATTTTTTTAAATCAACATTTTTTTTCATAAAGCTTTTTTAATTTTGATATCTTAAACTTGAATTGTCATTTTTAAACAATATATATATTATTATTATTTAAAATTTATTTTAATTTGAATCTCATCCAATGTAAATTTATACTATTATATTTTAATTATTAATTTAAGTGTGTTTTATAATAATTAATTATTATTATTATGTTTATTCATATTCTTATATTCAATTACCCCTGTAACTTGTATGAACCAAATTATATCATCGATTAAAGGAATTGTTGTTATTCTTAAAAAAATTTGGTTAAGCGCCAACGGCAGCAACGAGGGTAATTACATGTTAATTGTCAAATAATTCGTCAAATAATTCAAAGTATTTAAAAAGAAATATTATTTTGTAAACACGTTAACTTAATAAAAAAATGTCATTGAAACTTAAAAAAGTTTTCTTTCACATTTTTTAAAGATATTCATATTCCTATATTGTAAAATCTAAAAACTAAATAAAAATAAAATTCAACTCAAACACGATTTCACAAAACTTTTCGGTTTCAATTTAGAAAAAAAGTAATTTTCATTTTTTAAAAATTAAGAAACTCTTTTATAAAGAAAGTTAAAATATATATATATATATATTTATTTATTTAATACTTAATTTTGTAATAAAATATAATAAATAAAATAAAAAGTTCACACATTTATATTCGGAGTATTTTATATGTTTTTCTCACTACAGTTTATAAAATTTTGCAGTGACAAAATTTTCAACCGATAAGCTTTTCCGTGTGGAGAAACGCGTTAAGGCCTAAACCAGTTGAATTGAAACTACCAAATCCCTAGAGATTCCTTACCCCTCTTCTAAATTCTCTCATTTTAAATCTTTTTAATTCAAAAGAAATTAATTTTTTTAAATACAGGAACTGAAAAGAGCGCGCGTATATAGTCAGAGCCCCCAACAAAGTCGATTTCGCACCTTCCTCACCAAGTTCTCCCAGACTTTTCAATGGTTTATTAAGTACCCTTTTGCTCTCTCATTCCTAAAAATCATATCTTTTCTTTTTGGTTTTTTTCTTGTTGAATCCTCTAAGTTGAAATGGCTAGGCAGGAACTGAAAGGAAGAGGAACAGTGTCATTGATGATCAACGTGTTGATCTTTCAGGTTGTTCGTTGTGCATCTCTACATGGCTGTTTTGCAGCAATCGGTCAAAGCCCACCTCCTAGGAAGAGATCCACTGTTTTTCCAACGGCTGTTAATAGTCTTGGCTCCTCTGTTTATCTTCCTGTTTATGGCAATGTCTATCCTCTTGGGTATTGCTTTCCTTCTTTCTTTAACCCCCTTTTTCTTGCTTTCTTGGATTGATGGGTTTGTTTAATTTCTTGGATTGATGGGTTTTATCTATATGCTGTCTTTCTTATGATTTTTTTTGGGGCCAAATAACCAATTTCCTCATTATTAAATTGATAGGTTTCTTGGGGTTTCTAGTTTTGCAAATGGTTTCTTTGAAATTCATGGAGTTTGTGTTTATAATCAATCATCAGGTATTATTCTGTGACAGTTGGAATAGGCAACCCACCTAAGCCATTTCAGCTTGATATTGATACTGGCAGTGACCTCACTTGGGTCCAATGTGATGCCCCTTGTACTGGTTGCACCCTGGTAAAATGTCTTACTATGATCATGCCATTATTGATGATTCACAGTGCTAGGTTGCTATGATGATTGATGCCTTTGATCTTCGGTTTTTTCGGCAGCCTCGTGACCGACTTTACAAGCCGGCTAAGAACAACTACGTGTTTTGCAAGGATCCCATATGTGCCGCCCTTCAATCTCCGAATCCACATCAATGCCGGAACCCTAATGAAAAATGTGGCTTTGAGGTTGAGTATGCTGATCATGGTTCGGTTCTTGGTGTCGTTGTCTCAGACAGCTTTCCCTTACGACTTGTAAATGGCTCGGTTTCTTATCCTCACTTGGCCTTTGGGTAGGTATTTCGAAACAACTTGTTAATCCCGATACCAAACTGAAAAAGTCTGGAAATTTGCACAATTTATGTATTATGTTTGTATAGTACACTCACTTGTGTTTCCCTCATCTGCAGTTGTGGATATCGTTTACAAAATCGCGGTCCACACCCTCCTCCTGCCACTGCCGGAGTACTCGGACTTGGCAGAAGTAAAGCGAGCATCTCGTCCCAATTGAGTAGTATGGGTGTAACACGAAATTTGTTTGGCCATTGTTTCAATGATAAAGGAGGGTTTTTGTTCTTCGGAGCTGATTTCGTCCCTAAATCGGGAATGAGTTGGACATCGATTTTACCAAGTTCCTCCGAGTAAGGCACCATTAGTCAATATCTTCTTCTAACCTCGTTTAACAATTCCTTGTTAGTTCTTAATATATATTTCTTTCTTGTTCATTTTCATCTCAGTAAACATTATTCTTCCGGTCCGGCACAACTATTTTTCGGTGGGAAGCCTACTGGTATTAAGGACCTCAACGTTATCTTCGATACGGGAGCCACCTACACTTACTTGAATCCAAGAGTTTACGAAAATGTTCTTAATCTGGTGAGACTGGGACATCAACAAATATCAACCCATAAAACCTTACGAATGCAAACACAGTACATGGAATTGAATCTTTGCTTTGGTTTTTAGATAAGGAAAGATCTCCGCGGAAAGCCCCTACAAGAAGTGAAAGATATAGCTCTTCTAATCTGCTGGAAAGGCAGTAGGCCCTTCAAATCCGTGCTCGATGTTCGGAACTATTTCAGCACTTTCACGTTGAGTTTTATGGGCTCTAGTAACGTTCAGCTACAACTACCACCTGAAGCTTATCTCATTGTCACTGTGAGTAACTCCGAAACCCTATACAAGTAATTGAAACAAACTGCAGTTACAGGAAGTTAGATGATAGATTTCGGAGAATGCAAAAGTAACGAGTTCACGCTCCTCAGGAACATGGAAATGTATGCTTTGGAATTTTGAGTGGCGCCGAAGCCGGACTAGGAACTAGCAATGTGATTGGAGGTAAGAGTCTGTAGATATATGTATCTATACTCAGGCAGTTAATTTTCTTCTTATCTTGTTGTTTGCTGTCTAGACATTTCATTGCAAGGCAAACTGGTGATATACAATAACGAGAATCATAGGATCGGATGGGCTTCTGCGGATTGTAGTCGAAAGTTTAGCCGATTTTGAATCTCTTCTCTTGTAATATGGAATGGGAACTTTTATACAGAGAAACTAAATGATACAAAAAAAAGAAAGAAAGAAAGAAAGAATAAAAGGCTCCTTCCTTTACCAGAGGTGTACATAGTTTTTGTTTATTTAAGCCTCTCATTCCCATGATTCATCACTGTTTGGTAATTTATAAGGTGAAGAAATGGAGTTAATTATCAGATATATATTAATTGTGGAATTTATAATGTCCATTGTTATATTTTATGCAGTAAAGTGAGATCAAATTCCCATATCATTCTGTTTTGTGGCCACCTCGAAGGCAATCAGAATATCCTTTTTCTTTTGAAAATGTAAAATCGATGAGTAGTTTGAACTCGACTCGGTCAAAACTTCACTTGAGTTGATTGAACTCGAGCTCGACTTGAGATCTTAACAAGTTGAGTCGATCAAAATTTAACTCGACTTAATAAGTTCGTGAGAAATTCATTAATTTTTTTTATAACTTTGTAGTAGTTATCTTAAAAAATTATTTCATTCAAAAAATTACTAGTTTATTAATGGATAATAAAAAAAATGATAAATTAGTAATCTATTAATTTTCTAATAAATAATTAAAAATATTAAATTATAAATAAATAATTATTATTTTACAACACCCAAAAATCAAACCCTAATTATTAGTTTAATGTACTTATGGATTGTTATTTTGGTATTTATACTTTTAATTTGTTTCATACACTCTTGATATTTTTTTTTGTTAAATTTATTAATTTATGTTTATATTAAGTTCTATATAGTATTAATAGATTTTACTTGTAGTTAAAAAATAAAATAAAACTTTCGACGAGTTTAACGAACAACGAGCAAGGAGTCGAGTAACAAATTTTTTTAACGAGCATGAGTTGAGTAAAAAAAATTTTAATGAGTATGAGTCGAGTAATATTTTAACGAGTTTAGCGAAAAACGAGTCGAGCAACAAATTTTTTTAACGAGCACAAGTTGAGCAAAATTTTAACGAGCAACGAATAGAATGTAACAACAAAAAATTTTAATGAATACAATTCGAACAGTACCCAACTCACAATGGACTTCGTCGATAATCACCCTACTCATGCTTGAAGTGAAACGACTCAATCATGGTAATTCAAATACAATGGACCCATCCACAGCTAAAAAATGATTTGGGTAAACTACGCGACCGGATGCCATTGAATTTGAAGGTTAGTATATATTATCTATAAAACTAAAACTCATACCATTTTAATCTAAAACTTTCATTTTGATTCGAATTAAATATTAGACAGTTAAAATTTAAACTATTTGATGATGATGTGAATATATCTTTTCATCATTCATTGACGTATGTAGATCACCAAACCTTTTTTGAAATTAAACTCTAAATCGTCGCTCTGGTGGCTTTCTCCAACAGTCAGCGCTCGAATTTCACTTACAATCACCCAAACAACCATGGTCTCTTATCCATCCAATTCACCCATAATCATCATCGTCCTCACTAATTAACCATCCACCAGAGCATAAACCCAACAACCCTACAACAAAACCGAAATGCACATGCTCCTCTTTCCTTGAAACTAACAAAAAATAATCAAATTTTATCTCAAACATGTAACATCCTAAATCTGATGAGCAACCTTAGTTTATGAATGCCACATTCAGCTATTAAAGTAAAACAAATCAAAATATCATATTAAAATGATGTTATAAAATTCGGAACTTCTTTAATTAGTAAAACAATACTAACAATAAATTACAAGTTAATATAAAAAACAACTCTTACATGTACACTTAAATAATCATTTACTGTACTTTTAGCTTTTTGCTGAGACTACTTCGATTGTGTTGTTGTATCATAACAATCCACAAAACCTCTAACCTATGCACAAAAACAATCTGAATGCTGATGTAACACCCATCTCTCATATACCCTTCCGTATAAGAGATACAGATGTCACATCACTTTTAAAACAGTTCCTCATTTGAAAACCCATAAAAATTTGTTTCATTTTATAAAACATTTTTAATTTACTAAAATGCTAAAACATGCATTAATTTAAGTAGATAAACAAAAAAGTAATGTTCAAACATTTCACTATTTTTCATCATGGTACATCAAATGCTTTTCATAGCGTTTTTACTAAATATATTACATGTCAACTAAATACATCAAAAAGTATACATCAATGTCATACTGTTACTGACGAGGCGACCCTGGCTTTGATGTCCGATGATCTCCTTACTCCGCTTGTAGTAAAACCTACGCGTTAAATTAACACACACTAAGAAATTTTCTTAGTAGAGGCATAAATAATCATAATCAAAATTCTAAACACAATTATATCATGACAATTCTAATTTCCAGTAATTCTTTCAATTCATTAAACACTCTATAGTTTACATTGGTAGTGCTAATACCGTCATTTCTCAACCATTACTATAATTTACGTGGGTTGCATACCCACTACCAATACAGAAATTCACCTACTTATTATGAATTTCTTATGTTTGCACATATAGTTCCCATATAGAAATTCACACACTTAGTATGAATTTCTTAGTTTGCACACATAGTACCTGTACGAAAATTCATACACTTAGTATGAATTTCTTAGTTTTGCACACATAGTGCCCATACGGAAATTCATACACTTAGTATGAATTTCTTAGTTTTGCACAGATAGTGCCCATACGGAAATTCATACACTTAGTATGAATTTCTTAACTTTTTGCACACCGAGTGTCATTTGGTCATCACCATACATATATCAATCAATCATACATCTATGACTATCGTAACATATAGGTACATAATAAATGCACTCACCTGGTTTGTCTCGCTATTGTATCCATAACGCAAAGCTGATTACTACGGTACTTTGCCTTTGCCTTTTGTTTTGCTTGATTCAGGAGCTTGATTTCTATCTACTCAAGCATCCATTAAAAAAACGTACAATATCAATTGTTAGTATATTACCTAACAATTATACTTAAACATTACTCAAGAGTACATATTATTTAAGTTTTCTATAACAATAACAACCTATATTAAAATTTCTGGCTCCATAGTATCGATACCCTACCATGGTATCGATACTACTATACTATGGTGCCGATAGTCTATTATGATATCGATACCATTTTTGCATTCTCTTATCAATGGTATCGATACCTTCCTCAGAGTATCGATACCCCATTTAGGTATCGATACTACTTGCATCAGTATCGATACTTCTCAACTGATTCTTCCAATTTCAAGCCTATAGTATCGGTACTGTTCTATCAGTACCGATACCCTTACCCATATTTTCCATTTTTCATCCTGATTCTTACCCAAATTTAGTCAAATTTCCTTATCTTTACACCCAACATTGCTATTAAACTATTCTTTACTTATCCCTACTAACTTCCCTTCATTTAGCTTCTTAAAACATCTAACATCTCCCAAGAACATTTCAATCTAATAATCACTCTAATTTTTCTAACTTGTTTTTAAACCCATCCAATGCTTATAATCTCTCATTTACCTCTTTGACAAGTCAAATCTACTAGTAAACATCAATAAACACTCTTATCTTAACATATCATTTCAAAACCCATTTTCTTAAATCTCCAATATTTCCTCTATCTCATAGTTTTAATCTTATATAACCTTTCCTTAAGCTTACATATCACTTAAGTTTGTAAGAACCAACCAGAATCGAAAGGAAACACTAACCAATTAAAACCTTACCTTTGCTATGGAGTAGAGCTTTTTTCACGGGAAATAAGAAGAAAAGAGGGATAGCTTTTTGGTAACTTATTTCCCCCTTTCCCCTTTTCTTTAATACTTTATTAAATAAACCTTTAAATTCATTTTCCCTTAAAGGACCAAAAGGACCTCTTAATCAATCATTGTACAATTTAGTATAAACCACTACTCCAAATCATTCTTATATTTTATCATTTAATCAAATAAATCCTCAAATTTTAAATCCCTTCAATAAAGTCCCTGATTCTATATTTGGGGCATTACAATTCTACCCTTAAGAAAATTCATCCTCGAATTTAAAGAAGTACGTGAAACGAAGAGGTGTGGAAACTGCTTCCTCATGTCCTCATCTCTTTCCTAAGTAACTTCTTCTACCTTATGATTATGCCAAAGCACTTTAACTAATGGAATCCTTTTGTTACATAATTCATTGGTTTCCTTAGCCAAGATCCGCACTAGTTCCTCTTAATAAGTTAAATCTGGTCGGATCTCTATTTCTTCAGCAGTGATAACATGGGATGGATCTGATCTGTACCTTCTAAGAATCGATACATGGAAAACATTGTGGATCTTGTCCATATTCGAAGGAAAAACTAATTGATAAGCTACGGGTCCGACCCTTTTTATGATCTTATAAGGTCCAATGAATCTCGAACCCAACTTTCCTTTTCGCCTAAAACGTAATACCTTCTTCCAAGGCGATACCTTCAGAAATACTTTGTCCCCCACTTGATATTCAATTTCCTTTCTTTTCAAATCGACATAAGACTTCTAGCGATTTGAGACTATCTTTAGATTGCTCTGGATATTTTTCAATTTTTCCTCCATATCTTTCATCAATTCCGGACCAACCAGGTATCGATCTTTCAGTTCAAACCAATTTAATGGTGTTATGCACTTCCTTCCATACAAAGCTTCATACGGGGACATCTTAATACTCAATTGGTAACTATTATTATACTCAATTTTGCTAAAGGCAAATATTTTTCCCATGATCCTTTAAATTCTATCACACATGCCCTTAGCATCTCCTTTAATAATTGTATAGCTCGTTCTGACTGCCCATCTTTCTGCGGATGAAAAGCTGTGCTGAAGTTCAATCGAGTACCCAATTCCTCATGCAAATACTTCTAGAATCTTGAAGTAAACCTTAGGTCTCGATCGGACACAATCAATATAGACACTCAATGCAGTCTAATTATCTCTTTTACATACAACTCCACATACTTATCCATCAAGTAGTCTACTCAAACTGGAATAAAATGAGCCGTCTTGGTCAATCTGTCCACTATTACCCATATCGAGG